GCAGCCGCTGCTTGCACCTGCTGATGGCACCAAGCAATTGGGACCCACCCCGGGCACCAGCAGCAGATGCGAGTGGCGGCTCTGGTACTAGCAGTGGGTTTAAGCAGGGCTGGCACCCGCAGCAGGTGTGACCGCTGGGTGGGACTGTGGGGCATGGGAGCAAAGAATTTTCAGTAACCATCAGAGGCTCGCCCTGATGACAGCGACTGCTGCCCTGCCTTGGTCTGGCACACCTGCTCACCTGCTCCACCATCCCTCTGCGGCCAATGCCTGCCATGTTCCGCGCACGTCCCCTGATGGTCAGTGCAGTCATAGTGACTGGTTGTTCAGTTGTTTAGTTGTTCCAGTTGTTCCACTGTTTGGTCTATTTGCATATTAGCCTTTTGTTATATAGGATTCCCTATAATGTACTTTATATCCCCATGACTATTTTTATATATCCAACGAACTTTTCAAGGAATATAGATACTTTTTTGTTTTTATGATTAAATCTTTTAATATTTATAATGTGGTATTTGATACATCTGAAAATTATTTATAGGTTAAGAAGTATAATCTAATGTATACCTATTCATTTGCTGGATTACTTCCATGTCTATCAGATCTCATCTATTCTGATTCTTTCCCCCACTTTATCTCTTACAGGGTGACTTCTCTTAAGGTAATAGAGGGATTTCCTTGTGTCTTCTTATCTTCTGATTGAAACTAAGAAAAACTTTTCTCATTTAATACCAATCAGGTGTGCTTGTCTTTCTAAGCTAATATTCACTGAATGTTGCTATGTGCAAGACAATTCTTATCAGTGTACCCATCTTATCAGTGTTACTATTATCTCTTCTATGGGCAAAGTTTGCTTTAAAGGTCACATGCAACAGAAAACCCAACCCCAACTTAGCACACATGGGATTATTTTTCTCTTTTAACAAGAAAGTCTGCAGTTGATTTTGCAAGACTAGTATGTCAACAAAACTATCATATGTGATGTGGTGTCTTGCATTAGACTCCCTAGAAGCAGACCCTGAGTTAAGGATTTACTAGTATGAGCATGTGATTTACTAGGAAATATTCCCAAGAAAGGGAGTTGGGTTTGGCAAGAATGGACAGGAATCTAAGCAAGAAGGTGATCTAATGCTGAAGTATAGCAGACAGGAATTTTTGAAGCCTTGAGGGGAATTTTTGAGTAAAAATGAGGACAGAACTTTTTCACCCAAGACAAGGGAGCTGGGCTTTCAGAAACCTTGTGAAGTTGATGGGAAGAATTCAGACTTAACAAAAACTTAAACCTTTTTATGTAAGCAGCAGCAGTACATAATAGCAACCCTTCTAGGAAGAGCTGCAAGTGCTGGATATTGAAAGCACATAAAAGATGGTAGTGGTAGTGGTGTGGGTGTGTGGTACCCATAGAAATTTTATAAAAGAATACAGTATAAAGGCATCCAATGGGATTTGGGCAGAATACCAATATTGTTCACTACACCAGAGTGCTTCTATCTTTCCCTCCTGCCATTTTTAATGTGTAGGCTTTTGTCCCCATGCTCTTCATCTCGTGATCAGAAGTTGGCTGTTCAACATACAGCCCCATATCTATGGTCTGAGTAGGAAGAAGGGGAGAGGGTGAAAAAGGACATGTGAGTTGAATATGTCTTCTTTAAAATTTTTTTCTTAAACCATTATCTTATCTATATTTTATTGTCCAGAATAATGTTAAATGGTTACCACATCAACTGCCTGGGAGTCTGGGAAGGAGTGTGTTTTTAGTTGGGCAAATTGCTTTCCAGAAAAAAATGAGGTTCTGATGGTAAGGAAATAGGATTGGTAGTAATGGATATTAGGTAAGCTACCATAACATTTGGTACCTCTTCATTTTACAGAGAATAAACAGAGATGGAGAGAACTTACATAATTTGCTGAAGTTGTACAGACTATTAAGTAGTAAACCAAGCCTATGTTCTTAATATGCTAGTTAGTGATTCATGCATTCTCTTTATGGGAGTGTCTTCTGAGCTGGAACTATAATTGGACTCAGACAAGTGTTTCATCACCTTGGCACCTTAACAGGAAATAGCTCATAGATTCTATCTCTACCAATTGCCTTTCACTTCTATTTCTTGCATTCATTCATTCCTCAGATTCCTTAACTCCCTAGACCCTGGCTATTAAGATTTGGAACCCTGGCTATTAAGATTTGGAACAATGGAATTTTCTCCCTTCTGCCTCACCCCTGAAGAAGGAACCTGTTTAACATGACCTTGAGAATAGATATATGAATAAAACAGGGATGAGCACTAGGGTATGGGGATAGAGAATTCAGTCTGATTTCTTTCTCTAAGGAGAAACGCACACTGATCTCTCTCACCTTTGTGTAACTGTGTACTGCAGAATTGGAGTTTTACTATATATTGTACAAGTTGAAATTATTATTATTTTTGGCTTGTTTTGTGCCACAGATGTAGAGGATATGAATCAATCTTTTAAGACTTTATGAATCAATCTTTTAATGCTCTAATTAAATTATCAATTTTATACCCAATTCCCCCAAATTTCAACTGTTTTATTTTCCATTTTCAAGTAACTTTACTCATTCAGAAAAAATTTAATTGACAATATTTCAAGCTATTCAATAAATACATAAAAGATCCAAAGAATATACATAAAAAAGGAAAATAAGTTTTGACATAATTGTCATTTCTGATATAATAAAATGGACAGGCTGCTTCCAGTAATTTATTGTGGACCATCAAAACACATGCAAGTGAATGACAAAAGGCCACTACACATTTTAATACTTTAGTCAAAAAACACCTACTAAAGTGGTGATGGAAAAATATTTTTAAAAAAGATAACCAGGTTGAAAGATATCTAAATAAGGAGCCAGAAGTCTCAGGTTAAAGTTCTAATGCAGATACATGTTGACTAATTGATCTTGGGTTAAAGTCACTGAATACCTGCCATGTGTTGATCACCATGATGGGCACTTGGAGTACAAAGGTAAAGAAAGATACAATTCCTACTCTGGAAAATCTTACTTAGTTTTGAATTACCAAAAGTATCAGACAAATGACCTACTCCAATATTGCCGTATTGTGATATGCTTATATTCACATAAGAATTTTCAAATATTGAACTGTTTTATGAAAAAAAATCATTATGGCTTTACATACTTTTGAAAAATATAGTTTATTTAAGAATATAAATAATGTAATGGATATATTTGGTTACTTAATAATAATAATAATAATAATTTTAAGTATGTCATACAAAATGCACAAAGTCAATATTTAGTTTTTGCAGAGGAGATGGTATAGATTTTGCTTTTTTTTTTTTATCTCTATAGTAGTAAAATTATTGGCAAAGTAATGAAACAAAGTTATATTGTTCTATACTTGTTTGTCCCTATATTACAGTTCTCAACCTTTTTATCTTATGTTCCACCAGCAATTATATCCAGTAGATTTTTTTTCTTCTTTCATTTTTTATTAAGGTATTATATGTGTTCATATCTTACTAATTCCCCCCTCCCATACTATATCCAGTAGATTTAAACAAATTAGAAATCAAAGAGCCTACAGTTTGAGAAATAGTCATATTTCATATGTATTCCATTATTATATTTATCATCTATTGTCAGTGTTAAGCCTATGAAAAATTGTAGTAGAAATTGTTAATGCCTTAAGATAAGCAGAAATTATTCCATTAGTAGTGGAAATGTCATTATGGTTGAGTATAAATTATTTTACTACCTTAGTAACAGTAAAACACAAAAATGTTTTAAAAATATCGCTATCAATAAGTTTATGTAAAATTTTATATCACCTAGACAAAGCAGAATAAAGGTTCTGGCATTCATATGTCAGGTGATTTGGAAATTAAGCTTGGGATACCAAAGGTATATCAAGAACACAGTTGGTCAAAAGAAATGAAGGTAAAATAGAAATCAAATACATATTTCATTGTAAGTTGGGTCATTTGTAAGTTGGACAACAAAGGGTTAAGAAAAATTTTATCCAACGTGACAAGTATATAAAAAGTCATTGATCTCTGGAAGTTTGGGTCAGAATGACATGGTATGCCACAAACATGAGGGCTAGCCAGTTAGTGAAATTGTAATATTGATTTTGTGTTTCACCTTGGACTTTTGGCCCCACCATGGTCCTTGGATGCCCTAACCTACATGTGGCTTAGTGCTTTTTCAAAAAACTGTTTTAATTTATTCCTAATGATTCTAATTATAGGTCTGAATTAAAATTTATTTCACTTCCTAATGCAAGAATGCCTTGCTTTATTTATAGTTAACTTGGTCTATAAAAATAAGAATTTTTAAAATGAAAAATTAGAAGTGAAATCACCCACTTGACAAATCTGTACTGGATTTATTTTTCTTAATTTTGAAATTATCTTAAAAAATAATATATATATTTATATATAGCCTGCCTAGCCATGTAGGCACCTGAAGTTTTGGGCATCTACTAATTTGGAATTTGTGAAATAGTCACTCTATGCAGCATCTGGTTTTTACTAGCAGCTATTGTGTTTGAGCCCATTGTTTGGAACCTGGGAAAAGTATGTCCATATGTAGCTTTTTAAAATGGATCTATGTCTAAAATGAGACTTGAGCTAAAGCCTGTTTCTTTCCAGAGATCTCAGCTCTAAATATAAAGTTCTCTTTGGACTGAAAGTAGAAAAAAGTAAAGGTCTGTATGTCTTTAGAATATTGGCGGGTTGCTTTAACAATACCCTATTTAATATACGAATATTTGTATTGAATATGCAGTGATACAGAGGGAAATAAAAAACAGAACTGAGGATTACAAATATATACAATTTTAACATAAAATGCATAAAACATTCCACAGCATGTTAAGCACTCTCCATTTCCCTTAAATGTTATCTCTCTCTCTCTCTCTCTCTCTCTCTCTTTTTTTTTTTTTTTTTACAATCTCTTCAATGGTAGCTCTTGGGGTTACTCAACCCAGGATTCACAACTTTCCAACATTTTACATTTAAGAGAGCTTAAATCTGATATTCTCTCTTATTAAATGGTCAGTTTTGTCCTTTAAATTAATTAGACTAAGATGGTTATTCTCTACTCCTATAAACAATCCGGGATTGTTCATACATTCAAAGGAAACACATGACGAGGGCCCGAGCTCTGTATGAAGAAGAAATAAAGTCTGGTCTGGCAACGAGTTTTCATATTTTTGTAGCTGTGGAAACAAGAGAAAAAGCAACCAAAATGTGAGTAGGAAGTCCAGAGTCAACTCTATAGCCCTGTATTAGAAAATAAAGGGGAATAATTACTTATAATTTGGTGTTTTTAGCAAAGCTGCTTAATGAGCAGGGGATGGAAAGAGTGGACGTAGAGGGTCAAAGTGGGAAAATTTGATTTGATTCACTAATAATATACTTTGAGAGACATATGGCTTAGAATGACTGGATCTATATGCAATAGTTCTGGATTTGTACCCCTGATTTGCCACATATTAACTCTGAGATCTGGGCACATTGCTTTACTTCTCAGGCCTCATTTTTTATTTTTATTTTTTATAAAACTTACCCAGTTTTCTAGATCAGTCAACCCCTAATTTACCCACAAATATGTGAGTGATAAAAATGATTATTATCTTAAGCCACTAAGTGTTGGGATGATTTGTTACACAGCAATACCTGACCAATACAGTAACTCTACTATAGTTACTGTGAGAATTAAATGATATAGTAGTTATATAACATTTAGCATAGCGTTTGATATATAATAGAGCTCAGTATGGGTCAGCTCTTATTGCTGAATAATTATATGCCAAACACTGTTATATATACTCAAGAATGTTTTGTTAAGGGAGATGTTAGTTACCATCAGTATTTATATTAATACCTTACATGGCTTTATGAGTTAGCTTTATAATTTTGTGTATATAATTTATCTTCTATATTAGACTTTCATGTTTTATTACTTGTCTCCACCTTTGGCTTCTTTGTTACTTAATCTATAATAATAAAAGCATAATATGCTAATTAGAATGACATCCTTCTAGATGAAGCCAGTGCTGCAAGGGAAGCCCGATTCCCAGGTGCCAGAGGGAAGCCGGGTATGTGCCCTGACTGGGAATCAAACTGTGATTTCCTGGTTCATCGGTCAATGCTCAACCACTGAGCCATGCCAGCTGGGCTGTTTATAATTCTTCATGACCAATATAATACTGCCATTTACTAACTGAAGAAGACTATGCAGTGAATCCTATGAATAGAATGTAGATTGTTATGCTACCTATAAATCTTGGCATATGGAAATGTTTATGACCTTCCCTTTAGTAGGCTTAGAGTATAAAGTTATTTATACTCTATAAATAACAAAACTATATTTTACAAAGAAACACTTCCTAGAAGAACACAATACTTCCTAAAACCAAATAGGAAGGATTGAGATCATTCTATATAATAGTGCTTCTCCAACTTTAATGTGCTTTTGAATCTCCTGGAGATTTGTTAAAATGCTGATTCTAATTCAGTTGTGAAGGAGCCTAAAATTCCACATTTTTTTTTTGCAAAAAAAACTTCTGTTTTATTTTCACATTTTACATCTCTTGTGAATGCATACATATGCCAGTTCTTTATATACAACAAAAACCCTACCTATAAGAGCATCTGAGAAATATAGTGTTCCTTTTCCAGATCCCATAGACTCTAAGAGGTGTCAAGCATGAATGCTAAATGGCAGTTGACCATATGTGGCATGCAAAGTTTTTCTGTTTTGAGTATGAAAGTGATGTTTTTCCTACTACAGCTTGGTCTTTCTCCTTGACAATGAAATTCCACATTTCTAACATGCTCCCAGGGGAGGCTATACTGCTGGCAGAGACCAGACTTTAAGTAGCTCCAAGAGCAAGATATTGGTAGCAACTCATTGTGTTTTATGTACAATAGCACAAACAAAAATCCTTCTTCAAAATATCCAAACTCCCAAATCCATACAAACTATTGATATTAATCACAATAGTTAAGTCCATATTTCTGTTACCTCTACAGAGTGCTCCTTGTTGTTGGCATGCAGCAAGAAGTCTTTGTTATTTGCAGGACTTATTCTTACCATTAATTTGTGACCATCAACATCATCACCTTGCAATTAAAAAAAAAAAAGCAAATTATAAGTTAAAGATTGTAACTAATTTTAACTTAAACAAACTTAACCAGAAAACAAGTTTACAATGTCATGTAAAATAACTACTTCATTCAGCAACATGTCTCTCAGAAATTTATACCTAAATGAAACTAAAGAGTCATTGAGAAAGTAGGGGATAATTCCAAGCCCCTTGAAGAAGAGAGGTTAGTTTTCTTACATGCTTTCTAATTGTAGAATTGGAACTCTAATGAGTATTTCTCTGAGTGTTTGTCTGTCTGCATGTAAAGCCACAGATAGTTGTCCCCCAACATTCAACTCCTCTTCTTGTGATATAATAGAACATATTTTTGTAGCTAAGTGTAGCAATGGAACTAAGTTCTGACCAATATGAGGTGAGTTGAATGTCAGGTGTAACTTCTAGGTTGTGTCCTAAAAGGGAAAGAGAATTCACATACCCATCTTTCTCTGCCCATCTAATTGGATATTGTCATGGGGGCAAATAATTTTTTGTTGTTGTGAATCCTCACTTGAGGATATTTTTTCCCATTGATTTTTAGAGAGAATGGAAGGGAGGGGAAGAGATAGGGAGATAGAAACAATGATGTGAGAGAGACATAGATTGGTTGTCTCCCACACATGCCCTGACTAGGGCAGGGATCGAGCCTGCAACCAAGGTATGTGCCCTTGACATGAATTGAATCCAAGACCCTTTAGTTTGAAGGCTGACATTGTAACCACTAAGCAAAACTGGCCAGGGCTAAAGTAATCTTAAAACATGTAGATCAGTGGTGGAGAACGTCCAGTCCATGGGCAGTATAAGCCCCAGAAATAATTTGGTCTAGCCCTGACAAGGCATTAGGGGTGAGTTAATTAAATGTTTGACCAGTTATAGCAGACTAATTTTTAGGTTGATAATTTTGTATGCCCCTCAAATGATGTTTTAAATACTCAAATGACCCATGGAAGAAAAGGATTCCTCACCCCTGATGTAGGTGTTAGCAGAGCCATAAAGAGAGAAGGAGCTAAATTCATGGACATCCTATTCAATAGAGCTCCCATCCCAGCCCTGGTTTAGACAGAATTAAAGTTTGTGTAGTTAGCACCCATTATTCTGGGTCTCTTAAATGTAGCTAAACATTTATCCTATAAAAATGCAAAATGGTTGGAATGGAGTAAATCCTCTAAGAATCTAAGATTTCACTATGAGCTTGGGCTGGAGAGAACGTTAGAGACAGCCTCCCTTTCTACATGGAGCGTTTTTTGGATTTATTTTTTGTCAAATTCAAGAATTCAAACATTTATCTATTCAAATTACCTGTTTCACTTGCAGATGACTGTGAGTTATAGTAATGGAATAATACTTTGTCTGAAAGAGAATGCATAAAATCAAAATAATGGTATATTCTGATGAATTCCCCATAAAATACTTAAAATATTGTTCATAACGCGCGCGCGCACATACACACACACACACACACACACACACACACACACACACACATATATATATATATATTTTAATCTTCACCCAAGGATATGTTTATTGATTTGAGAGAGAGAGAGAGAAAAGAAACATTGATATAAGAGAACCATCAGTCAGTTGCCTTCCATACCCCAACTGAGGAAGAATCTACAACCTAGGTATGTGTCCTGATCAGGAACCCCTCCCCACTTCTTTCCTCCTTCTCCCGCCTCCCACAACATTTTGGTGTATAGAACGAAGCTCTAAACAGCTGAGCCACCCAGCTAAAGCAGACATACTCATATTTGAGGATTTACTTTGGTGACATTGGTAAGATTAGATAGATCTAGTAAGTAATTTAGCAATATCAAATATATATGGTCCTCCATCCATCTTTCACAATAGACACCACTTCTCAATGTCAGTGTTCTTTCCTCCTGATGAACGCTTACTAAGCTTTGTAATACTCCTCAACACAGTGATATTCAAGCATCTATTGCCAACTCATCACAGTTCACACACCACATAAGATCCATTTTCCATATCTGAGTTAATCCATTATTAATGGTTTGGTAAATTTATTTTTTTACTTATTAGTAATCACTATATCATTATAGACAAAAGGAAATATTCTACCTTTCTCATCTTTTCCCCTCAACTCTTCAATATAGATCTCGTAACCTCCATCCGAAAAAACAAAAGTAATGGATTGATCATTGTATGTGCTCAGGGAAACACAACGCTCTGTAACAAGTGAAAATCTTGTCATTAAGAATGCAAAAACTTGTTCTCATAAACAATCATTTAGCATTAAAAAAAAATGCCTCCCCAAAGGCTTTTTATTATACTTATTTGAGTTGTACTTTGTCCATTGCTGTTGGATGGATATAAAAACCTTTGGTGCAAGTTTAACATAGTTCAAAGCTGAACTGTACCACCTGAATGGGATTAAAGGCACCAATTTATTGCATGAAGGCTGTGGGAGGCCATGCGAGTATATTTATGGGAGGTTGGTGGGAAAAAAGAAACTGGAAAAGTGACAGGTATTGCCTGAGGAAACCCCGGCTTCCTGGTTCCCCATGGACTAGGGAATTGTAGGTAAGAAGGGACAGAATTTAAATAGACATGGATAAATAAATACCCGTCTGTAAGGTGTGGAGTTGTTCTGAGACTTGCAATAGTCCTGGAGAACACAGTTGTGAGCCCCTTCTGACCTCTGGTGAAATAACAGAGACACTGAGAGCAGTACTCCCAACTTTTTAAAATGTTCCAACATACATGGAAAATTATAATATTTCAGTGATGTAAACTGAAGTAGATTTAGAAACTATCTATATGGGTCCTGGAGAAGAAAATGTTATATTTTCTTTACATTATAGAATTATGCTAAGAAAAATATACAAAATATTAATGAGTATGTTAAATGTTGAATTTGTATGTAAACTTCTAAAGTAAAATGAATTAAAAATACTTAGGGAACAATTTCAGTATTTTTCTGGGAATTTAAGACATTTATGTCAGGAATAATACTTGAAATGGCAACTGCAATTTCCAGTCAAGTTTCTCTGTGATCTCTTCACTTCTTGATAGTCACAGTCAATTTGGACTTAATTTGCTCAGTTGGTGATGCAACTTAAAATAATTTTAACAACTATTTATTTAGTTGAAATTATACTTAAAATACTTAATAGTCCCTTCTTTTTTATTGTCAAAATGTTGAAATTTGGGGGAATAATGTATTGGGTTCCCCCTCCCCCACAAAGAATAATGTATTTTCCCCAGGAATAATGTATATGGAATTCCAATCCATAGCAGACATTTCAAAATAACAATGGAGTGCTAACTATAGAATGTGTATGCATTGTTAGAGCAGTTGCCCTGCACTTATTTTAGATAACCACCTAATGGGCACATCAGCAGAAAATGGACAAAAGTTTATAATATTCTTGAGGACATAGACTTGGGGCTGCTTCCTACCTCCCTCCTCTCACCCACACCACCCCTGTAACCAATCACACCTAGGATTCTTGATGATTCATCCTTTGTTCTAGTATTTCCTTGGGCACTAAAGGCAAAGCCCCTTGTCGATTGTCCAAATCGTTCCAGGCGTGTCTGATAGGTAGTAAGTAGCCGATTTTGCTCATTGTAATCTTCAGCTGCAAGACAGATGGAGTTAGGAGTGGACTATAAGTGCTCACTCTGCCCAGATCCCCTCCCCATCTCCTCTACCCCCACTTGAAGAGTCACAGTCATGGCTGCTTGTTGACAGTGGTGACTGACCCCAGCACTTGGCCACCCCATGGTTGGAAGAGCTCAATACCTCTTGGCCCTCTTACACTCCAGAAGGACACCATCCACTGGAGTCCAGGTGGGAAAAAACTAGTTACCCATGTCTCAACACCCAAAAGGCAACCACTATGAACATTTTAGTTTACTGTACTTCCTTTAAATGAAAAAAAAATCACCTAAGAGATATTGTTAATATACAGGCATACCTCACTTTATTGCACTTTGCTTTATTGTGTTTTACAGATGTTGCATTTCTTACAAATTGAAGGCAAGGCCCTCTACCAGTGAAGGATTACAACTTACTTGATTGTGATGGTCTGGAACTAAACTCGCATATTCTTGAGGTATACCTATATATATTATTTTATGTCCTCTGTTTTCACTTAACAATATAACATAAATATTTCTCCCATTATATTAAAAACTCTTTATAAACCTTTTTAAAAATGGCTTAAAAGAATTTATTATCTTTACTCTTTCCCAGAAGGAAATTTGTGTGAGGGGAAAAATTTACATACCTAGATGTAGAAATTGAAGGCAAAAGGATGCTCATCACTATATTAAAGAATTACCAGGAACTGTAGTTTTCCCTTACCTGAGTTTGGTGAATGCCTTTTGGTAGTTTCTTTCCTAAAGTAACAAGCCTTTTTTTCTATGATAAGGCCAGAGCGTAGCTGCATAAAGTACACCTGACAAATTTCTTCACCCTTCTGTTGGGATTCTAAACAAACAAAAAAAAAAATGTGATATTGTTTCATTCCATTTATTTTCTTTTTCTTTTTCTAAAATATATTTTTATTGGTTTTAAAGAGGAAGGGAGAGGGAGAAAGAGAGAGAGAGAAATATCAATGATGAGAGAGAATCATTGATTAAATACCTCTTACACACCCTACACTGGGGATTGAGCCCACAACCTGGCATATGCCCTGTCTAGAAATCGAACTGTGACCTCCTGGTTCACTGGTCAACACTCAACCACTGAGCTACATTGTCTGGGCATTCATCCACTTTCATTCTTTAATAAACCCTGAGTGTAGCAGACCAAGAAAGAAACTGCAGATCCATGGTATTTTGTTAGAAACTTTTGGGTCATTTGTGTTTCAAGATTTAGAGTTTTTTTTAGATATTAGAATTGTCATGTGGAACATATATTTAGCACTCCCAGCAGGGACTAGGGCAATAACCCAAATCAAAAATTAATAATATTGTAGTGAAATATGGAAAATTGTATATAAGGTGGAAGAAAGACCTCATGGTAATTCAACTCAGGCTTTAACTGTTAAGTGAATTTAGATCATATTTTGCTGTCAAAAGAGTTATAAAAGACTTTGGTCTTTAGAAAAAAAAATTGTTTTTCAGAATTCCATATAAGGGAGTGTGGACATACATCCAACATATATTCTTTCCTTCACTGAGGGGAGATTCTTATGATCATATAAAGTTTGTAATCTTTTCTGGTTATTGATTTTAAAAATAGCTGTCATTTACTAAGTGTCTGCAGTGAATTAACCCAAATAATTGTGCCAATAATTTTACCTATTATGTCATATAATCCTTCATAATAATATAGCAAGCAAAGCAAGTATTATCCTTCTCATTTTACAGATGATGATCTAGGAGTCATGACACTTACCAAAGTTACAGGTCTGGTGAGAAGTCGTGACTCAAGTGTATCTAATATCAAAGATACTTTTTACACCCAGCTGGTGTGGTTCAGTGGTTGAGCATTGACCTATGAATCTGGAGGTCACAGCTCAATTCCTGGTCAGGGCACATGCCGAGTTGCAGGCTTGATCCCCAGTAGGGGGCATACAGGAGGCAGCTGATTAATGATTCTCATCACTGATGTTTTTATCTCTTTCTACCTCTCCCTTCCTCTCTGAAATCAATTATATATATATTCTTTCCATCTGCCTCTGTCTAAGAAAATATTACAGTACAATTTTAGGGACTAACAAAATATAAGCTCAAATTAAATCATTTGAATTAAAAATATTAATTATCCAGTAATTCTAATTTTATTAGAATTTAATTTAATTAACCAAAGAAAAATTAAAGTCTAAAATAAAAAAATTGCTACTTTGAAATTATAAAAAGACTTTCAGTGTCAAGTAGAAAAGAAAGTTGTAACACCTGAGTCAAAGGAGCTCAATTCTCAACATTATAGTAAGTAAATGAGTTATCAAGCAATTTCAAAAAATGAAAATAATTACTTGTGACTTTGGGATCCATTTAATGATTTTTTTATTCTCTAATATTTGCATTACTAGTATGCTTTTTAAAGTCAAGTAGAATAAACATTTGTTAGCTACCATTTTAAATTATCTATATTTTGCCTCCAATTTAGATGGGCATCTACCTTTAAGAATCTTCAACTGTCTGAACAGGGCAAGATCACTTAATTTTACTCATACCCACACTGGAATTCCTTAACATTGCTTCAAATTCAGAAATATCAACTATGGTATTGCACATTAATATAACGTTTTTAGAGTTAACAAAGATAATTTACAAAGCTGTGCCAGAGCCAGCATTGAACTTGGTCTCCTGATAACTAATTTAATACAATATTTTATTTACTGTGTCAGTTTTCTCTTCAGAGCTAAAAGGTATAAGATGATACCGCAAGTATTCTCATTCCTTATATGCTGATCAGTATCCCATAGGGACATGACAGACATGTCTTATATTCAGAGTGGACTCTGTGGGGAGTGGAATATGGGTCTTGGGTAGTTAGAAGTGAGGATCAAGCTATTAAAGTATTGCGGATGTACAAGAAGAGTCAGGCTAAAGATATGGATGCACAGGCTAGCATCTAGTGGGGCAAACAATGGCTGTAATTCATTGAGGGTGATTATAGTTGTGTTAAAGACATGGAGTATTTGAAAGAAAATATACTTTGGTGTTCAGGGCAGCAAAAAATGTGGTATGTGGGTTGGGTTCTCAGGAGGAAAGCACATAGCTGACATGGCCATGGGCACAGTGTAGGAGAGAGTGCTCCATTGGGGTCAAAGGCCCTGGTCAAGCTTACGTAAGGGCTGTTGCCACTTTCTCAATCTCCATCATATTTGCTGTGTGAGGGCAGTGTCTTATTATAGCTTTTAAGAAAATAACTAATTTCACCATAGCATCAGCATGTTGAAATTCTCAGGCATTTCTGAGAAGTAAATGGGGAGGGGCCTGGAAATCTGCCTGTAATTTTGCCACTTGGAGACCCAGACTATGGCTGACAGGATCTATAGAAGCAAATCACTTCATCTTTCATTTCTTCCCCAAACACTTTTCACCATGGTGTCTTCTCATTGCTTACTACCTTTTACCTGTCTGTGGCATTTGACTTTAGAGACCACATCCTTCTTCCCTTATTGTCAGGTCAACAGTTTCCTTAGATTTTTCTTGTTCCTCTCTGATCAGTCCGTCTTGATCTCTCTGTTAGTTCTTTCTTCTTTACCTTGATCCTAAATATTGGTGTTCTTAGGATTTTGCCCTTTGCCTTTTCCTCTCACTCTAGACTTTTATTTCTGAGCAATCTTGCTTGCTTCAACAACTTCAGTCATCTTTTTATATACTGATGACTCCTCAAACTGTAACTCTACCTTTATTCTCTCTCCTTACTTTTATATCTGTTGCTCTTTCTCCACAGGGCACTTTGACTTCAGCTACCATAAAACATCTCTATCCATATAAAGCCTCCTTAACTCTGGATACCTCTACCTGGATGATCTATACCTCCTCCAAATTAAAATTATATTCACAATAATAATTTTTTTTTACCCTTTCCTACCCCCAATATATTCTTCCTGAATTCACTGTCTTGAAAAACAGCACCACTGTCTACCATTGTCTGCCCAATTCTTAAATCAGTAAGTTGAGAAACATCCATTTTTCCTTCTTTCTCTCTTAATTTCTTTTATATGTCACTAAGTCTTCATGATTTCACCTTCTGACAGTATGTGAAGTTTAGTCCTTTCTTTACTTTCTGTTGTTTTAGGTCAGGCCCTCATTATTAGTCCCCTAGATGAATGTAGTAAACTTCTGACAAGTCTTAGTTTCTACGCATGTCCCTTCAGTCTCTCTTCACACCACCACTAGTGTGACTTGTCTAAAATAAAAATATCTTGTAATTCCCCCCAATTAAACATTTCCAATGATTCTCTACTGTCCACAAACTACTTCACTGTAACAAAAGATTTTCCACGGACAAACACAAACTAGTGTGTGATCTCTGCCCATCTCTATCTCCAACTGTTGCATGTAGGAATATGAGCCAGTGTTACTAGATCTTCAGATTTTTTTTTACAAAATCACACATTCCGATTTTTATACAAAATCCTAATCTATAATTGTTGCCTCAATTAAAAAACAACATCAATAATAGCATTCAGGCCAAATAAAATACTTCTGCTGGGTGAATCTCTCAAGGCTCTCTATATTGTGACCTCTGGCTGTATGCATCCAAAAGCTGGATTGTCAGGGAAGGCAAAGAATTGATGGATGGGGGAGAAGAGGAAATAGCAGAGGAGAATAGACTGACTTTGGGGAGTAGCCGCCTGTAAACTTGGAATGGGATGACTTTTAGGAGGGGCTTTCCTCTAGCTCATGAAGTGTTCCTGTATTTCCTTGGCACTATAAATGAAATGGCATGGTGGTGACCAGAACTCATAGGGAACCTGACTGTGTGGATACCTATAGTGGTTAGATAATGAGTTTTGTGGCATTATGAGCTGTGGATTGTGTCAGATCATGTTAGATCAAGGGAGGAAAAGTAATTAAAATTAGTTTTTTTAATTTTAATTTTAATTTTTTTGCTTGAGGGCTCAGAGCATTTTCTTTGGAAAAAATGTGACATTTATTGCACCCTGGATTTTAAGAAGTGGTTTATACCTGTTACACACCTCACAGCTCTCAGGTTTGGGGCCAGGAGTGTTTACTAATAAATTATGACAATTTTAGTGTTAAATAGAGCCAATATTATTGATAAGGAAGATCTGCTAAGGGACAATTAAAATAATATGATATTAATATAAGTGATTTGGGGATACTTTCATTATTGTTTTTCTAAATGTTGTAAATAAGCCTCTGCAACCTTAAAGAAGAAGTTACATTTTAACTTCTGTATCAGTGACACTAACTCTGCTGTAAACTCCAGCCTGCTCCCTTATTCCAGTATCTTAAAGAGTCTACATCTTCTGAGGTACAAAGACAATACATTATTTATTAAGAGGGAATTTGGGGTGCAGAGTCATTTCCACTGAGTCACTGTTTCTACATAGAGCAGTTTGACTCAGACTCAGATAAAAAAAAAAAAAAAAAAAAAAAAAACCCCAACAACACAAAAAAAAACCCTAACAACTGTGATTTCCTGGCCATTTAGAAATCACAGCCAAATTAGTTTTTTCCCTGGTTACTAAAGAACACTGTGGGTGAGCCAGAGCATTAGGAAGAATAGAAATGATGTACTTTAACACTGCTTTCTCTTCTAGCCTGAGAGATGTTCAGGGAAATGGAGAGGAGCCCAAAATGGAGAGGAGCCTACTATATTACATAGGATGTAATTACATCATTCCTCATCCTCTGTTTTGGCTCTAGCCCACTAGGGCTCTCTTAACTCTTTTGTATAACTGTTCCTTATGAAAAAACATAAGTATAAAATTGTATAATTATTGCCTAGGATAGGTAATATAAGGATCAAAGAAATATACAGCCCTTTCATCCTAAAGCTATGGCTTATACTTGGTTCTTTTTACCCTTCAATTTAGTACAAACCCTTTGGGTTTATAACTGAATAGAATTGAGTATCGTTTGGTCAAATCTGCTTCCTTTTGGAGTTGGATTATTCAAATATCTTCACTCATATTCTCTCATTTATCAAAAATTGCAAGTTAAACCACAAGCTTGATACACCAAAGGTCTTAATAAATGTTTGTTAATTAATTGGGGGAAAGTTTTTGGGATTTGGTGGTAGGGGGTATGGTGGAAAGAAGGGATTGATATGAAGGGCTATAACTATGTTTATTACTATAAGTGGGTTTAAATTATCTGAACCATTCCTGTCCTGTGATGTATCAAAAGTTGGCCATATGTAGTCTGTTTAAAACCAAATGCTGCTGTACTGCACACTTATGAGCCATCCCTTTCAATTTCAGCTCTTGTATTCTTAGTAACTTTTGATAAAGTAGCATGTATGAACATTTGATAATAAAGATTTGATAACAGATAAAAATAGTATGTAAACTAATCAGAAATGCTTAATTCCTTACTTCTCAACCTGGGAGATTTTACTGAGGCTTTTCCTGCTGAGTTGTTCATTTTTGCAGGGGGAATTTTAGTAGTTGAACACTTCATTTCAGGTCCTTTTTTTCAGGCTTCTGTTGGATTAAATATAGTATTAGTTCAATTGTCTCAACTTTAAAACAAACAGAAACAACTGTGGCTAAGTCAATATACAATTGATAACACACCACGAAGAGAAAATAATTCTTTTAGTAAAATTTGAACATAGTATTCTGAGTATGTATCTATGCTGGAATATAAGACAAAAAGAAATGCAAAGAAATCTTAAACTTTACTTGGTGATTTTGTTGTTGATGGTAATATTGGTATTGGAATTCTGAGACCATTTGTTATACCTTACGATACAGCAAATAAGTAGACGTTGGATAGAGGATTTTCACTATAGGAGAAATGACAAATATAAAATAAAAGAATCCAAGAAGAAATTCCTATGATGTTAAATTTGAATCAGTAATATTGGTATATCTATATCTTAGTTTCTAAGTACTTTTTTCACTAAAGGGAACTGGGACTCTAAATGTGGGCTGGGAAAGTAGAAGTGAACATGGAATATGTTGTTGTGCCAGAGGGCAGTGAATCATTCAAAAACTAGTGAGGTTGTGTCAAAAGGAAGCATGAAGATTCTCCTGCTGGCCAAATTTGGGACAATTTGACATCAAAAGGAATCATGATGGTAATTGACTATAAGGCATTTGATGAAAAAACAAACAAAAAACAAACAAACCCACAAGTACATAGAATTTATCAAGAAAGAGTGAATGAGGAATTTATTTATTACAGAACAAATGACAAAATTAGAAAAATCACCATCTTCCAGTCCCCAATTTAATATTTGATCATCGGTGGACTGCAGTACTCTACTGAAAGACCCTGGAGTTTGCTGACATAAATTGCAGAAAGCAATTCCATATTCTTTCAGTAGGGTTCTGCAACCTGGCTTCATCATCAAGGTAAGACAAGTGATGCTATGGTTTGTGGGGAAAATGGGACTTCTTCTCTAGTGTTAAAATCTCTCTGACATTGTTGAATTCTACTAGAAATTATTGCTTCCTTTATTAAGCATTGCATTTTATTTTCTAGGTTAAACAAAATAAAATCCAAATTATTGGATTGGGTACCATTGAAATCTTCATATTGCTCAGCTTTTCTGGTAGGGCAAGAAAGCAGCATTGAGTTCTTGGGTCAAAGGACTCATTGGAAGATAAACTTCACGCACCTTTATTTTTGTCCCTGGCCAACCCCAAATAGGCTAAAACTTTCTTGTCTAGATGGAAGGAGAATATTCCATGCAGCCATACTATATTCAGACAGTTTCATGAACAAAATCCTTTAATGGTAGGACAGTTGAGGACTCCCTCTTCTGCCCCTGAGAATGAATATTATCCTCACAGAGCTTGAGGGCCTCACATAAATCCTTATCTTCTTTCTCTGATTTTCTCACCTTCATTAATCAAGAACACTTAGAAGTATAGAGCCTTAGACATCATTTTACTGAGCTCCTAACTTTATAGATGAGTGGGCCAAGGAAAACTGAAAAATTAAGTGCCTTGCTCAGGATCACAAAAGTTGAACTGGGACCAGAATTTATCTGTTATGCCAGAGCTTCCCTACCCTGTCTCCTTTTCTTCCCCATCCAAATGTAGGAATAAAAGAATCAGAACTGGAAATTTAACTTCAAATGCTTAGCTGGTTGTCCAACTTCTTTGAAATAATAAATTTTTGAATATGGTAGTTAATTTTTAATCATAACATGGGATAGTGCAGGTCAGTAACCTTATTGTAGTTAAACTTTAAATTGTACAGAAAATAAGTCAAATGGTAACTGCACATAGTAGGCATTCAGGAATACTTCTTTACTGATAACATGAAAATTGCAGTGCTGATTTTTTTCTCTTTTATCCATGGATCATTATGTCCTATAAAAATAATTCCCCTGGATACATATTAAAAAGCAAACAAACATAAAATGTTGCATTTTCAAATAAATCTGCAAAATGTCCCAATCTATATTCCATCTCTTGGGAAGTCAGAACTTACATTAGTATAGTTAAGGTGCTGACAGTCTTTCATTGAAGAATCATGGTATCTTTGTTTAACTATTTTCAGTAATTATTTGATTTTGTAAATAATAACTTGCTCTATTAATACCCCCATGGACTAGTTTAAGAGAACATACTTGGAGGAACTCTGCTCTAAACCTGCAGAGTTAAGCAAGGTATATTAGAAACTGCAATACTACACTTATGCTTGAGTCACTAACACAGAGAAAGCTGGCTGTTTTTTAAGAATCACATAAGTCAAAAGCATAGTCAGGAAATATTCTACTGCAATTCTACTGTTAGGAATTTATGCTACCAATGAAATTACAAAGATTTACCAAGAATCAGAAAATCCTATTCTATAAAACAAAGCATTCTCTTTAAACAACCTACAAATCTTTTACTTAAAAAAAATACCATCACTTCTTTCACTATTTTTTCAGACTTAAAGTTTACTCTTTACTCTCCTATTTTTAAATAAAAATATTTCAGACTATATCACAATATAAACGTTTTTTTGTGCTGCTTTTCCAATAACTTATGGCAAACATTTTTGCACACTGTTTATGATACTCACCTGTTATAAACATGAAGGGCTGGTTTCAAATGATGAGGTTTCCTGTCGTTAACACTTGGTAGTAGTTGAAGCAGTTATATCCCAACTCTACTTATATACATACACTTGGATTAAGCAATATCAAGTGACAGCATTTGATGAATGAGGCAATGCAAATAGAGCCAGTTGAGTAGGTTAGAATGAATAAGAACATATTTTGTTCCCACAGCAAAATCCTAAACAGAGCTTTTACATCATTTTAGTTGCAGTACTTTCAACGAGTCTTCTCAGTTAATCATTAATGTTATCAAGCTTCTATGATATGGACTCCAGTTAGTGATTATTGAATTACAGAATTTAAAGGAACAGATTATTTAATTGCCTTTCTCTTTTCTACAAAGTTTAAAACTTGTAAACTATTTTTTTCTGTTTATAAAATTTATGTATATGCACTTAGAAAATGTGTAATTGACAAGAAAACATATATGCTATAGATTCTGAAGTTTTCTTTCAATGTAGAAATACTGTGCATATCTATTTTTTATAAAAAAGTAGAATCACACTACAAATCTTTTGTAAGCTGACTTTTCTCATTTTCCAATTAATAGTATGAATACTTGAGATGTCAGAAATATTATTTTACAGGAAGCATTATAAATAGTATTCAATCATATAAGTATGCCAAAACTAATCATTTATTGACTAACACTTCGGCTGTTTCTAGTTTTTCTTTTCTTCTCTTAAAAAATTTTATTTTTATTTTTAACAGTATTTCAGTTGTCTTCCATTTTACCCATTTTTGACTCCTCTACCCAGCTCCTGCCCCGCCTCAGGCCCCATAGATTATACATATATATGCATATAGTTCTTCGGTTAATCTCTTCCTGTCCCCTTTACCCCCTCTTTTTTTTTTTCCCTAACATCATCAATGTTGCAACTGACAGCTGTGTGTGTGTGTGTGTGTGTGTGTGTGTGTGTGTGTGTGTGTGTGTGTGTTTCTGATTCTTAGTAAATCTTTGTAGGTTAATTGGTAGCATAAATTAGAATTTGTCATTGATGAGAGGTAAATAATAAATCCTAGCAGTAGAATTGCTATACCAAAAGGTAAATGCATCTTCTAGTTTAATAGATATTACCCATTTAACTTCCAGTAGTTTGTATTGATTTATAATTATTTCAACAATCCAGGTTCATGCCTTTTTCTCTACTACCTTAGCAGCAATGAGTGTTATCACCTTTAAAATGTTTGTCTTTCTAAAGAGAGGACAATACTTGATAGTTTCAAATTACTTTATTATTTAGTGAGATTGAGGATCTTTTAAAAAATATATTTGTTATCAATTTAAATAAATTATTGATTTATATGAATTCTTTGTAAATTAAGAGATTACATTTTTTGCCTATGATATGTGTTGAAATTTTTTTTCCACTACAATTTATTTTTAGACTTTGTTAATGGTATTTTTTCCCCACACATTTTTCAAATATTCTGAGGTAAAATTTAATTAATGTTTTCTTTTAGAAATTCTAGATTTTGTGTCCTGGTTCTAAAAAATTCCCTCCTCTCTTCAAAGATTATAAATAAAGTAGAGGCCCTGTGCATGAAAATTCATGGACTGGAGGGGGATCCCTCAACACGGCCTGCCCCCTCTCATAGTCCAGGAGCCCTCAGGGGTGGGAGGCGACCTGGTGATCATGGGAAGGTGATGCCCCATCACACCTCTGCTGTTGCCACTATCGGCAGTGCAGGCCTCGGCAAGCCCTGGCCACCTGAGCCCTGGGCGGCCCTGGGTGGTTGGGCAGCCGCCATCTGAGGCTTGCTTGTTCCCCTGGCCAGCCCTGGGTGGCTGGGAAGCTGCCATTTGAGGCTTGCCTGCGCCTCAGGCTGGCCCTCGGTGGCTGGGAGGCTGAGGTGACTGGGAGACTCCAGAGATAGGTGTGTGGAGCGGCTGGGCCCACTTTGGGGTGGGCCTGGCCTTGCTGCGTGCCTGCCCAGGCAGGGCTGAGGGGACTGGGTGCTGCCATCTTTGAGGGTGGAGCAGTCAATTAGCATATTCCCACTTTATTGGCTCTGAGCACTACCATCTTTGCAATGGGCATGAGGGTCAATTAGCATATTCCCTTTTTATTAGATAGAATTATGATATTTTCTAAAACTCTTATAGCTTATTATTTAAAATCTAAATTTTTAACTATTACATTTAGTGTAAAGAATAAGTTAGGCCTGGCTGGCATAACTGTGTGGTTGAACATCAACCTATGAACCAAGAGGTCATAGTTCTATTCTTGGTCAGGGCACATGCATGGTCTTTAGGCTTGTTCCCCAGTGTGGAGCATGCAGGAGACAGTCCATCAATGATTCTCTCTCATCATTGATATTTTTCTCTCTTTCTCTCTCCCTTTCCCTTCCTCTCTGAAATAAATAAAAATATATATATATAAAAAGAGGATAGGTT